CTACAGAATTATACTTACAGAAATGCATTCTTACATTCTACTGAATGTCTTTCTCCTACGATACTGAGAAATGTTTGGCCTTTATTTCTAAAAATAGATTAACTATTTTCAAATAGGGTACATGTTGAAAAGAAGGAGTAATGTAAAACGAATAAAACAAAGAACAGGATATGCATTGAAAATTAGAGGAAGGACGATAAAAATGAAAGGCAATGGGCATGGTCATTCCACATATTATATATGGTACCTTTGATGTAAAAGACTTCTTTTCCGCTGCCCAGGACTCAACCCCCCCCGAACACATATAACTATTATCGGTTTCTGTTCGTTTAACTGGACTCGCTCTGAAAACTTTAGAATGATGCGAAGGAAAATTCTAAAGTGTAATTTACATTAAAATTTTTTTCCAGTACTGATATTACCTGCTAATTGCATTAAAATTAGCTAACGGCAGAGCACAAGAAAAGACTAGACTAGTAAGACTAGAATTCTTTTATTGTAGGTGCCGAGTTTAGTTCTGTATGAGAATAAAATTTTTGAATTGGCTTCGGCTAGTTGAACCTTGCTAATAGCCGAATAGTAAAACACTCGCTGAATATTGATCATTTGATTTAGGTTCGATCATAGATGAATGAGCTGACTGCATCATTGGTGTTTTGTGCAAAGTCAGTTTTCCTTAGAAAGCCCAGATGAATGAGCTAACTGCATCATTGGTGTTTTTGCAAAGTCAGTTTCTCTTAGAAAGCCCTTCACGATGGCAGCCCTCAGATTTTTGCAATAAATAGCTCTCTTATGCTCTGCAGTATCCAAATAGTCTAAAAACTATTTTTAGTAGGAAATGAATAAATTATGCATTTTGTTTTGTAAAAAAAAGGTATCTTGTTGAAGTTAGTTTCTTAGAGGATAGAAGGGAAAAAAAGATTATATATTTATATCTAACTGAACCAGCCAGTTATATGAACAAAACTTAAATTTTCTTCTTTTAGTTGAAGTAGAAATATGTCGTGCATTTTGGTAAATAAAAAGGGTTTTACACTTCAGTTTTGTCGTAGAATGTCTGTTTTGTATTTTATTTTACGGAAAGTAAAATCTTATTTATTTATTTATTTTTTGCAAACCCTAGGTGGGGAAAACATTTTATATATATAAAAAAATATCAGTCCCACATGTGCATAATAAGCCTCTAGGAAGCAAACCTGTTGCCCAGAAATTCTTGAATATTCAGGTACATTGTAATCATATTATCCCAGGTTTTCGTTGAAATTAGTTGAATTTCTGCTGGAAAGCTTACTTCTACTTCAATGCATGTTTGATATAATTCCTAATATTCGCATTTTTGAGCATGTATATTAACACACAAATATTCTTGAGAAAAACCTAACTGAAGGAAGATGAATCTAATCATGAACAATTCTACACAATTTTATTTTAAAATTCGTTATGATTTGCATTTTTTTGAGTTCAGACATAATTTTTTTCTTTTCAGTTTTCAAAACTTTCTCAATTTACACCCTTTAAAAATAACTGCATATTATTATACTGAAAAATAATATTTAAGAATATAGTGAATTCTGGGAAATGATCTTAATTCAATGTATCAAAAACCAAATTATATATTTAAAAACTTATGTTTCTGCATTAGGTAACTACACTGAAAGTAATATTGATAGAAAATGTTTAGTAAAACTATGCATTACCTATGTAACTATAATATTTTGGAAAAATATTTAAATTTTCCGACTGCACATACAAGGCATAAAGAGCGGTTGCCCATCAGCGGACGAGCAATAAATTTTCTGAACGCTGGTAACGCTGGTAATTCGGCCCAGGAGTCCTGTGAACGAACTCATTGCGTAGGCGTTTTCTTTGTTTCCCCCACGTGCAACGTGTATACGAGCCAGCTTCCCTCAGAAACTCCTCCATGAAGACATCCCTATCCTTAGGCGAATCACCTTTGAGTGCTTTGCCGTAATCAAATTAAATCAAATTAAAAAAGATAAATAAGCATCAAGAGCATTAGTCTAGCGTCTCTCTTTGATTCTTTCTATATATACATAGAGAGAAAGAATTAAAGGTATAGAGACTATAAAACCATAAGAATGAATGCATCAAAATCCGATTTCTTTTTTCTTTAATGCTCTTATAATTTTTTAATAAGATTTCTAAATGCAGCTGTTTATTTGCTCTTAGTTCCCCCAAATAAGTAGTGAAATAGTAAAATATACTAATATTTTCTTAGATTTTAAAGAAAACAGTATCATTATGGCACAATTAATAAACTTGCAGCTTCCCTTACTTATTGCTGTATACAAAAGTGGAAAATTGCATGACAAAAATTTAGACATCTGTGATTGTCATTAGCAAATAAACAAGTTTTTTTATTTCATGTTCAGTTAATTAGTTCTTTCATTATATCAAGTAAGTTGTGAAATATTATTTATATCCGTGGTTTCAAATAAACCCTGAATGTAAAATACCCAAAGCTGCAAATAAAATAAGAAATTTTTCAAGTTCCCAAGGTATTTTATTTAGAAAATAAGGAAGACATACCGAAAATCAAATTGTTTCAGTGAGAAAATATTCCTTCCATCCTAGGCAAGCAATCACATATAAAAGGTAAATTAGGTAATTGTTATTAGAAACAAGTGAATGTTATTAGAAACGCAAAAGTGAATGTTATTAGAAACGCAAAAATATTTTGATATTATGCTTGTCTGCATATAGATTGCTAATCAAAATTTTAATAAATAAATATATATATAAACACGTACACACACATTTACATGCATACATAAAAATACAGGCTTATAACGAGGGAAAAAATGAAACATTTATAATTTTTTTTCTCTTAATGTCTCGATTTGCAGTTTTTTACAAAATATAGATTTGATAACTTAAACCCCGACTTACTGTTAAAAGTCAGATCACAAACACTACCTTCTTGAAAACTATCAATGGGCAAAATTTTGACAGTGATTGATATTTTTACAGCTGACACTAATCAGTTCACCTGATAATTCTCCGCAGGTGTGTGTGTGGGGGGATGAAAAACTACTTAATGCTTTTCGTGCATTCAGTGGAAGAAATTTTCTGTGCTTTCAAAAGCTTTGATGACAAAGCTGGTGACCCTTTTGGAAACAATACCTTATCCTTCTCAAAACCTCCAGAGGGTTAATTTATTGCGATTTTAATAAATGACCAAACTTGCACAAAATTCATGAAAAATGCCCGCTACACGAAGAAAAGTCTGAGGCAAAATATACTCGCATACATTGTGTTAATTGGCTAGACTAATTGGCTAGACTTATCTGACAGGCATGAAAAAGGTGCTGCACGAGCAGAATTTTTCTTGGAGGCAATATCAGTGAAGGAGTAGAACTTAACATCCCAAAACTAATCAGTTACATCCCTAAGAACATGAAATCACATTGTTATGTTGCATGTAAGAGATGCGCATTACTTATCAATGTTAAAAATTAAAAGTTAGACGTTCATTCCTTATTTGTCAAAAATCTGTTTATTCTTTTTTTCTCCCATGTTACATAGACTTTGTTTTGTTATATGTCTGTGTCAAAGCATTTTATTTTTTTGTTTAGATATATGTGGTGTAATACTCTATATCACCTCAGATAAATGTGTTAAATTTTATTCATTAGTTTTTGTAAAAAATAAGTATTTTTATGCTTACACAGGTGATTTTGGACAACAGTGCACTTTTTTATTTTTATAAATATTGTTGTTTCTATGTTCACTTATTTATGTATGTATTCTTATTAGCTTATACTTTAATATGTGTGTAAACATTGTGATTTTAACTAGATTTCCTTTCATTATAATGTCTGTTTCCCTTGATGTTGATATTTTTACATAGTGTAAAGCATGCCATTAATCATTATTAAAATTTGTGAACTGGATGTAGCTTAACCCCTTAACTGCCGCGAGCGTATATATACACCTTGCTCAGCCAATGCGTTAACTGCTCAGCCTATGCGTTTACTAATATATATATATACGCCCTTCCAAAATACTATCATTTGCTTTGCGCTGCTACCCGTAAAATTATTCGCAAAGATTTAGAATGCAACACCACAATGACCTTGACAAAGTATGCGAAGGAGGATACTATTTCAGAGTAGTATGGGGAGAAATTGGAGAGAGAGATAAGTCTAAAGTGGTGAAAGTAATGACTGCACGGTATTGGCTGGTGTTGTTTGAGTAAAACATATTTTTTTTTATTCTGTGTCCTCTGTTTTCGTTTACTTTTTGTAGCAGGTTCCAGGAATAAAGAAAGATATAATGGATGTTTCAAACCCATTTATCTTTTTTGATGAACTGCTCATGCTTCATATTGTTACTGAAACTAACCGTTTTGTAGACGAGTATATGAACTAACACCTTACAAACGAAAAATCAAGAACAAAATTGTGGCACTCAACCAGTTCAGAAGAAATATATGTTTTTTTTAGGCATACTGATTTCACAAGGTATAACACTGAAACCTGATATTACACTTTGTCTAAAAATAGATTGATCGAAACTCCATTTTAGGGATCTTTTTTTGTTATAAAAACATCATTTTTATTATACTTACATCTTTTTATTATACTTTTACTCAAAACATTAAATTTTGTGCATTCATGTTTTTCTTTTATTCTTTATTTTGTGAAAGTAAACAGTTTTTAGAAAATAAAACTTGCACTTATTGTCCCCCTAATACATCGCATAACTACGTGTGCCTGTGTGAAAAACCGTGGCACTGAGAAATGAATGAGAAACGAATCTAATAAACACATTTTCTGCGGCAGTTAGGGGTTAGAAATATGAATAAGTTACTTAAAATATATGTGTTATCAAATTTTAATAGACATTAAATTGTATGAAAAATTTAACGTAAAGAATATTTTCATTGTGTAAATCGTTCATTAAATGTGAATTGATTTAAAAGCCTTTTTAAGTTTTATTTGCTTAACATATTCAAAATATTAAATAATTTTTAACAGCTGTTTAGCAGTATGTTTGAGGAGTACACCACTGATGGACAGAGAGTTACCCTACAAGAATTTCAGAACTTTTTGCTGGAGCAACAGAAGGTAAAATAATACATAAAAAAAAAAAAAAAAAAAAAAAAAAAAATGTGTGAATTATTGAGTGAAACATGATTTATTTTTGCATTTACTGAATTCAGAGGAGCATTTAGATTTTTAGATTTACATTGTCTAATATCTCATTTAGAAATACAGGATGTTAATAAATGAATACAGTTTTAAAAATTAATAAATTGATGTATTACTTTATATAAACAAATTTTATAACACAAGCAGCAGCAACTGTCCAAGTTTTTGATGCATTAAGCACAATCCTTCAATATATGCGCACTTGGTCACACATCTACACAGTAATGAAATTCTTCCTATTCACGGTGTAGCATGTCTGCCGTGATGGTCTGCAGAGCATGCTGTATTCGACCACAAACTTCCTCAAGGGACACATGCATTGGCAGTGTATAAATTTAGCCTTTAACAAACCACAAAGGAAGAAATCACATGGTCTTAAATATGTCAAACGCAGTGGCTAGGGGTGAAGGTTATTGTCTGCTGTTGCAGCATGTGTAATCCAGCTTTGGTGAAGAACACGGTAAGAAGCTGTTTTACATTTCTGTGAAAATGGGGCAGAGCACTGTCCAGTTACAAAATATAAGCATCATAATTAATGTTCAGCTAGGGTAACAATTAGGTTTCCAACATGTCTAGAAATGAGTCACTGATCACAGTTTCTTGTTCAAGGAAAAATGGACCGTGCGTTTTCTCGTGGGTCCCTGCACAGAAAACATGCACGAAACGTATGCTGCTATGTAACCACACATCTGAACACCTCAAAATGGAGCACACAGAAAGCTTTTTCCTGTTGCTGTATCATCTGGGAAACTGATGCTACACAGCACGTGAAAAACTTAAACAGTTGCCAGTACTTACATATAGGTTTTACATGGATGAGGTTATATATCATTTATTTATTATTAATTTTTAAAACTGCACCATTTATTTATAAACACCCTATGTTAACTACATTCAGAATTTTGCTGTTCTTTATAGCTGATGTAAAATTAAATTTCTTTTTGAACCTTAATGTGTGCTTAATCATTTTCATAAGCAATGTAAGGATATAATAAACATGTTTTGTAAGAAGCAATTAGCCACCCCTTTGGTACAGTGGTTAGTGATGCTGACTGCAATACCAATGGGCCTGGGTTCGAATCCAGAAGACCTGAATGTTTGTAAGCATAATAGTGTTTGTGTGTCAAGGGGGCACTCAAAATACACAAACAAAATATCCTCTTGAGAGTTTGGTGGTAGGGAGAGAGGGGTGAAAGGTACTTGGACACCCCCTGGAGTTGTCCCTCCAAATTGGGGGTGCAAGTTTTCAGCAATATCTCAATCATCTATGGCACTATGGAGGTGCTGGCATAGCTTCTACCTGAGCCTGTACAAATCAGTTAAATTAATGGTCTTTAATGTGCCTGCCATAGATTGGCCCAAAATATCCACGAATGGTATAATGTAAGTGTTGATGAAAAATAATCATACAGCATGTGTGCAAAATTTATAAACAAACTGTGTAAAATTTTTACCTAAAAAATCTGGTGAATCAATTTGTTAGAATTTGCATAGTAAAAATATGCAGAGTGTAAAGCTAATGAATGTGCAAATATCCAAGTTTTGTTGTCAAGGCTTACAGTGTAAGTTGACAGCAAGGGAAAAGGAAGTTGGTACTGCTGCTTAATTAACATTTTACAGAAATTTTGACTGGAAAAAATAAACCTGTAGTCATTGAATTTTCTACATTTCCTAAAGACATAATTTCAATGATTTTATATGTGGAAGGATTGTAGAAAATTTGGAAGAAAGTACTGCAGTCATCAAAGCTGTAATAGAGTCATACAGCATGCTGTCTTTAATTTTCAGGCAGCACCTCAGATGAAGGGAGTGTGTGCCTAAATGCAGGAAGTTGGCTTTATTTCATGACTATACCAGAAGACTTCTGCAGCTAAGCACAGTTGGTTCTATTACTAGATTGATTATGGTTATGATTGATGGACATATTGAGGTACAGTTACTACATAATGGCTCAGTGATCAGTTACAGCTATTGGAGAAAGGGCATTGAATGTTACATTTGCTTGGACTGTGGCGTTATTGATGAAACATTGTTATGCATAGTAATGGCCACTACACTAAGCTACAGTGGTAGAGAATCTCCTGGAAAATGAGGATACTTGTTACATCATCTTGCTTGCATGCTTCCAAGACCTGAAGATAGCTGAGTATGGGCGTGATACTATGGGGAGATGAATAATATCTCACAGTCCTCCTCCAGAAATCAAGCAAGGCCTGATCCGTGCTGTAAAGGAAAAATGGAGCAGTCTTCACTAAGAACTAAATCATATGACAGTATACTGTGAAAGCGTTATATATGCAGTATCACTTTTTGAGAGAGATGAGTTCCCTACTGAGACATCAAATAGCCTGGGCATTGGGCTAGTACTTTTCATCAAACTTTCGCGTAAGCCTAAATCTCCTGTGTAATGTTTCTGCAGTAGACATTGTACGATTGCTTTGATTTGCATTTTCCAACAAGTTGTTGGCTAATATCATATGTTAGATAACAGGAAATGAGTAGTGTGACATGTTTGTTTCCATTCATACCCGTTTTTCTGTTGCAACATGCATGTTGCCCATTCTTAAATTTGCATTTTCCTTAAAATTTGAATAGATGTGTAATTTTTTTTATTAACCAATGAAATTATTATTATTTGTTTACCATGCTAGCATTCCTGAGCAATGACAGCTTTATAAGCAGAAAAAATGAAATCGATGTTATTATAGTCTCATCCAACATGTAGAGAATATATGCCGCATAACTGTAGTCAGCTATTTTCTAGTAACTTTTAGGTACACTTTTTTTCGATGGATGAATTTTTATTCTTGATGGTAAAATGTCATTTTTCTTCAGCATAAAATGTATTTTGAGTTAACGCTAGCATTGTATAATTATCACTTGCATATAATAACTTCTAATAATAATATAGTAACTCATTCATACTTATTTATCTTGCAAAGTATAAGATAACTAAGATTTCATTATTTTCCAACTATCCATATGAATTAATTGTATTGATTAATTCAGAGTTCAACTGTGATTAATTCAGAGTTCAACTGTTAAAGAGTTCAACTGTTGAAATGCTTAATTATGTCTTGGAGGAGACATAACTTGCCATAGGATGGCCTACATTTGAATGTACAGGGAGAGGGAGGGATAAGCAGTATCATTTGCTTTACATACGGGCATTCTTCATGACTATTCGTATGCTTTTAAAAATTTTTTATCTCTAATTGCAGATTGTGCTTATTCATTTAGGATTAGAATATGAATATAATGGTAACTCAAGATCAGCACTAAACACTGAACATAAAGAAGTCCAAAGAATTGCAGAGACTAGTAAGCAGATGAGAGAATTAGTGCTCGCAAATTCGAGGTTATTAGAATGCCAGGTGTTGATTGTCGCAAAACGTGTTTAAGGCAAATTTACTGTGAATTTTAACACTTTATATAGAATTCCTGAATATGTTCTCTGAAGAAATAATTTCCTAAAAAGGCAATATTTTTTGCTTCTCTTGTAGTCCGACTTTATCCTCATTTGACATTTTCTTGATTCCAGTGAATAGGCTGTTTGCTTGGTAACTTTTGCATTTTTGCTATGTATCATGTGAATACTGGCTACTTTCTGTTAGAAAGTTTTCCATAAAGGCATCCCTCTTTTTACGGAGAGAGCCTTCTGCTTTATCATTACCAACTGAATCAAGCAAAACAGACTTTTCTTGCGAGAATGCCTAGAAACATGGTATACCACTATAATCTGGAGCCAGTAACAATTACTTCTTTCAATTTAAAGAAAGTAAAGGGTGAAGTCTACTTTTCGGCAATTAAGGTCAGAGCTTGTAGCCACCACTGAAACCACTAACATGGACCACAGGATTGTTGTATCATGGTGAACTGTGTCCAGAAGGCTTAATGAAAAAAAAACCTTTATGCCAGGAAGTCAAGAATATGTATTTCACTGCCTTCATAACAAAAGAGAGATTGCTTTAATTGGTGGAATAAACACAAAAACTTGAATGAACATCAATGGTCCCTTGTTCTCTTTGTTGAATTGTCGAGATTTAGTTAATATCTGATTCTAAATATGTTTCCATCTGGAGAGAGTCAGGGAAGCAAAATCTTCAGTCGAATATTCTGGAATGTAACCATTTTGGTAATGCAGACGTGATGGTATGGGAAGAAATAATGATCAAAGGATGTACACCCCTACATATTTTCAATGGTGATTATGAGAGAGGTCAGAGATATTGGGATGAGGGCTTATAATCTTATATAAGACTTTTCAGAGGTGCATATGAATCTAACTTTTTACTTATAGATGATAATACTTATCCACATCGAGTAAACCTCATTGATGAATTTCTTGAAAGTGAAGACATTGAGCAAATACTCCTGTCTTCACCCTATAGTGAACTTATGACACCACCTTGGAAAAATATACTTACACAGAGGGATACTCTTCCTAGAGATGTAATGTCCTGAAGACCACCTTGTTGGAGGAGTGGAACTTAATTCTCCAAATTGTGGTTAACAACATTATTGCCAACATGAAAATACTCCATGATTTGTAGGTACAAGTCGGGAGATCACATTCCATATTAAATTCATAAGGCTTAATTTTTTTCCAAGTTATTCTCTTTCCTCCTCTGAAATCTCCTTGTAACATATTACCATTTTTATTATTTCATTCTGCAGTATTATGTCACATGCAGTGCTATTAAATTTTTCCCTTTGAATTTATGTGTTATCATGTTATGTATCATTCCATACTAATTCATAAAATAGTTCACAGCTTCTGAGAAATCTGTGATTTCATGCATGCAAAAATAATCTTAGACATGAGTGTAATTTAAGCATATTTTATATACCAAATTATTTAGCTTTTTCAGTTTAGTCTTTGACTCTCTTAATTTATTTTATTAAGGGTAAAAATA